GGGGGGAAAGCCAGCTATACTTCAGAACTTTACATATCATCTAATCCAAGCCAAACATCCTCCTAACTTACATTGCACTTGTGCATTTCAGCCTTTCCTCGGTTCCTTGGCAATTCTGCAGCTGGCTCCTCTGTTGTACTGCAAAGAGATGAAAGGAAATGCAGTGCACATAGGACGGTCTCAGTCCTCAAAGAATGTGCACTCATGACAGTGGATTTATGTTACTCGCAAACACTACATTGCACACCTCTTGAACTCCCTGTCTGGGGAGCCTGGCAATACTGTTTCCAGAAACTCCCTTGCACATGATATTGCCCAGATGCAGATCGGAGCTTAAGCTTCCTGACCTTCACAGTGTGATGCTACTCAACACGTCAACTGTGCACGGCTCAGTCTGAAGAAAGACTTCCGCTGAGCCCCAGAGCAGCACGACCCCCCAGCTCCCACACTGCCTTCTCCCAAACCGCGTCAGTGTGCCCGTTTTGTGGGCACCTCCCGCGGGTTCACAGTCACACACACCGCACCCCCAGTACCGGCACCCCTCAGACCGGGCCCCAGGGCTCCCTCACCGGGCGCTCCCGCGCGCTCACCGCCTTCTTCAAGGCAGCCAATGGAGAGAGCCAAATGCCGGCTCTGGCTCCCTTATTGGCCGCCCCACAAGGTACCCGCCCCGGAGGGACCACAGATCCCAGCTCCCCGCACCGCGGGGCCTCACAGCGCCCTTCTCCCGTGTCCCCACAGGCCCCAGTACCGGCACCCCTCAGACCGAGCCCCAGGGCTCCCTCACCGGGCGCTCCCGCGCGCTCCGTCCCGGCGCCCGCGGCACAACGACCGCCGCGCCGCCGCTACTGGCCGCCGCCTTCTTCAAGATGGCCAATGGGGAGAGCCAGCCGCCGGCTCCGGCCCCGCTATTGGCTGAGAGGGCAGGGGGCGTGACAACGCGTCCCCTCCGGCAGTCACCCCCTGCAGGCGGGTGGCCGCAATGACACGCGTGACAAGCCGTGCCGCGCCGTGCCGCGCCGTGCCGCGCGGAACCCGGCCACACCCATGGAGAAAGCTCCCAAGACTTCAAGATAGACTAGAGTCTACCAGACTGTGAACTAGATAATAGATAATGGAGATAATAGATAGTAGATAATAGATAATATTGTAGTTTGTCACAGGGTGAAACATTTAGGTTTTGGGAATTTTTAGTATGAAGGCAAGATGGAGGTCTTTGGGTGTTGTCCCAAACTGCTTCTTCTTCTTCATCTACTCCATTTTCTGCAGTGTTGGTGGCACAGAGTGATTGGACGAGGAAAGCCACAGTGCAGAGGTTAGTTACATGGACAGACAAGGGGAGTCATAGGTAGAAAGGTAGAAATAAAGTACCTTTTAAGAGTTAATTGGATGAAACAACTTTAAAAGACCTTGCAACTGTATATCCTGTAGCCATTTTGCGGTGTTTCCCTGCGTGCTAAGTTGGGTATAGACAGCGTGCCAACTTTCTGATAACAACAAAACAACAACCTGAAGACCGAAAAGAGTCCCATGCATCTCTCAGTCTGGACAGAGAACTGCTAAAGGAGGTTTTCCCCATCAAGGGAGCCTCCTGAGGCCCAACAAGAGGGGCCAAAACCAACAGTACACCACATGATATTATGTGATGTCATGCCACACCACTCATTGTCCTGCGGGACACTTGCAGAAGGGTAAGCAACGAACCCTAGTACCTAGAGAGATGCTTTTAATCTGTCGCTCTAACCAACAGAGACCTCAAATAGCATGAGGACCCTATACCATAGCACAGACTGCGAGGAAGAAGGGGAAAAATCCTGCCACTCCTGTGAGGACGGATCCCCCAGCTCCGCCTGCATGTGAAGCAGACAAAGCTGCATTTCCTCCTCCTCGGCGTCCCTCTGGGAAGCAGCGGCGGCATGTGCACAGCCTGTCGGGCCCCTACCCGAGCTGATCTCACTAAATAAAGGCATTTTTAAGGAGAATCATCTCCTGCCCATTTATTACATGGCCCACCATGCCATGTGCTGGCCACAGCTGGGGAGAGGTGACAGTTTCAGGCAGCTGCCAGTGCTGCTCGGGATCCACCATGGGATGACAACCTCAGTCACCTCCCCGCTGTGGTGTGGGCATGGAGACAGAGTGGTGGAGGGTCCTGCATGGTCAGGGTGGTCGCTGTGCTGTGGGACCCCCACGCCCTGGATTTTCACCCAAAAAGCAGCCAAAGCAGAAGGATTTTCTCAACCATAACTCCATCCCCCATAAGCAATGAATTGAGCAATGCTGTCCTAGAAAACTTTTTATTTCCACCTCCATCCACACTCAAGTTAAAAGCAAAAATAAATATGTAGGCACAGTAAATAAGTACCAAAGTAATAGGCAGACACAATAAATAAATAAATATAGGCTAGGGTGGCTCGAGCCCATGGGGCCCAGAGCTGCTATTTCACATGAAATAGATGGGGAGGGGGGTTGTGTCCCAGAGGGTTGTACTTAGTACATACAGCCTGAAAACCGGTGACTGCCGGTTGGGTTGATGCAGGGTCTTCAGCGCCCACTCAGCTCATAGGTAGCAATGTTCACCTGGTCTGGGGTGTTTGTGATGCTGACAGGCTGGCGGGGCTGCAGGGATGTGCAAACAAACCAGCCAGGGAAAGCGGCCGATTCGAAGCGGGTGGTCCCCTCAGATGGGCTGTCCAGGCGGTAGAAGATGAAGCGGGTCAGCTCCACACTCTCAATATCCCTCCTGATGTCAGCTTCCTACAGCCAGGGGGGTGAAATGGGCGTCAAGGTGGAATGGAGCCCCCAGCCCCACAGAGGAAAGACTGGTGGGACCCCCTGCTCACCTCCAGCTGCAGCACGGGCTTGGTGCCACTCATCACACATGACATGTAGAGCTGGTAGCCCTTGATACCCAACGCCACCGGCATCTTTCCAGACCCTGGACCGCCCTGCGATGGCCGGGGACGGTACAGAGCAATGTTGAGCTTCACTGCAGAGAGAAGGGACAGGTAAATGGGTGGTCCTGGGGTTGTGGGGTGGCTCCTAGGTAGTCCTGGGTTTGGGGACAAGGGCATTGGGATGGGAGCATATGCTCTCACCTTTCTGTCCAGCAGAGGGTCCCTGTAGGTGTAGGGCCACCAGCTGGGTGGGTGACTCCAGCACGAAGCACTTGTGGTCAATGTCCAGGATGTCGAAGGACTGCGAGCGAGTGTAGCGGAAAACGGGTGCCCGAGTATAACTGCCTCTGATGCACTGGAAGGAGACGGGCTCTGTGGGGAGAGAGACAGTCAGGAGGATACTGCTCCTAGGTCCAAGAATATCCCCCAAGAATATCCTGTGGCTGGGGTGCCACCCCTGACATCCCCTCATACCAAAAATATCATCCAAGAAGCTGCCAAGGTCACTATCAGAAAAGTCCTTGCGTGATGGCTGCTTTAGGAGCTTGGTCACAGCAACCACCAGGACAGCAGCCTGGTGAAAGGTCCTGGAAAGGGTTCCTTTTGTCACTGTCACCTGGATGCCCACCCCAGGCGATGTCCCCTCCAAGTCCAGTCGGGGCTTCTGGGGAAGAAAGGGGATGTAGGATTAGAGCCTGGCTTCCATATGACCTGGACCCTACCACTCCCACCACCACAGCATTACCTTCTGTGGGCACAGACAGTTGGGGCCATAAAATGTCTCCTCATTCAGGCTGAAAGGCAAAGGGAGATAGTGAAGTCAGGGTCAGGAATGCAGCATCACATCCCCAGAGTTCTCTCCAGCATGTCTATTCTTACCTGCTGCTCTCCAGTGTGTCCAAATCAGGGACAAATGCCATTGCCGCCACTGACTGCAGAATCCTGGGCAGAGACGTCACACTATCTGCAAACCTCTGAGGCACTTGCTTGCCTGCTCCTGCCTGTCCTGCCTGCAGTGCTGCTTGGCTGCTCTCTGAGCCTGGCGTCAGTGTGGCTGGTTTTCAAGAGCCTCCAGAAGGAAGCGCTGTCAGAGTGGGATTTCCAGGTTTCGCAACACCCGGTTTTGTCCAATTACTGGAGGCTGGGGGTGGGGGTTGATTGCAGTGCAGTGGGGAGGCAGAGCATGGAGCAGAGCAGGGGATACTCCAGGACCAGATGATCCGGAGTTGGATGGTGGGGCAGAGCAGAAGGATGCCCCAGAGCTGGTGTGTGGGGCAGAGAGCAGAGGGGATGTTTGGGGTTGATGTGTGAGGCTTCTGACCATGTGCCAGTCTGCTATTTGGTTGACCCAGCAGGGAGCTGGACTCAGTGCCAGCTCCCAGGTCCAGCCCAGCTGTGATGACACCCATCATTGTCAGTGTCCCGGAAGGGGCCGGTGGTGCAAGTGCTGCCACTCCACCATTTCCCCACAGCTTCCTCCTGTGAAAAATGCGTATTTTATGATTAGCTTTTCACAAATATTAAAATTATTATTATATGTGTAATGTTAGAAGGTTATGCTGTATTAGTTCTCTTGAGTGGTATGTTAAATATAGTTTTAGGTTATAACAATGTTAAAATAGAAACTCTGCGATGTAAGATACTTTTTAACTAGCTCAAGAAAGAGATGAGATAATCAAGAAATTCTTTGCACAGAGATAACAGCAAGAGGGCACATAAAGAGTTACAGCCTCCTTATCGGAAAAGACAATCATTCTTCCACCTTCTCTCCATCTTTATGGAACCACCAGCATTCAGGGAAAGAAGTTGACAAAACCCAGAAAAGTTCTTAATTTGCAAGGAATTTATGCATCATGTATGAGATGTATGAATATGCAACAGGTTATTGCTTTTAAGGATTATTCCTTTGTTCACAAGACATATTTTTGGTAGCTTAGTGTCCAAAAACATCCGGACGTCTGTAATTCTTTGTTCTTTATTCTTTGTCTTGTAATTGTCTTAACTCAAAATTTTTATTACTTATTGTATTACTATTTTTATAATAATTTTAATATTATTAAACTTTTATAATTTTTAAAACCAAGCGATTGGCATGTTTCACACTCCCGTACTGCCCAGACCCCTGGTGCCATGGCCAGCTGTGCCTGCTCTGTCACCCCACTTGCCTCACTGCCCCAACACCAGTAGGTGAAGGAACCTGCTGCCCGCTACATTTCCTGTACCCACTCATGCCACCATGGGGACATGGCCTTCAGAAACACAGCCTTTAGGGGCACTCCTCAACCTCATGTCCATCCGGTGTGCCAGAGATTGCACCATGCTGGGAGGGCCGGGGGATGTGCGTGGCCGGGCTTGCATGGACTCGTACTTTTGGGGTGTTTTCCTGGACCTGTTTCACTTCCTGAAAGTGTCCATCCAGCCCTGCATAGCTCCTGTGGCCGAGACTGGCACCACCATGACTCATTGTCAGGAAATTGCCAGAAACGGAGATCTCCCAGAACACCTCCTGTGCCCTGCTGGACATCCGCTGGCTGTCACACATGGTGGGATATTCCCAAAAGCCTGAGGTACCCCAGAGCAAGAGCTTCTCCACAACACAGTGGAGGTCCCTAGACCATGGCAGAGGTGCCCAGGCCATAGTTGGGGTCCTGAAGCCATGGTGAGTTACCAAGCCACGATGAGGGCTGTGAGCCATGAACCACGGTGGGTGTCCCCAGGCCATGCCAAGGTGTCCAGGCCGTGTGGGAGCTCTCCGGCCATGTCGGGGGTCCCCAGGCCATGCCAAGGGTCCCCAGGCCGTGTCCAGCTGTCCGGCCATGGCGGGGTCCCAGGCCGCAGAGCGGACCCCGGCCCCGTCCCGCGCCCCTCCGGCGCCCTCATGCTGGGCCGCGCCCCGGCCCCGGCCCACGGTCACGCCAGACGGCGCAGACGCATTGGGCCGGGATCGAAGGGCGTGGCAAGAGGGGCGTGGGGACGCGACGTGGTGACGCAAGGGCGGGGCGGGGCGGGGCCGGCGGTCGGGGCTGCTGTCAGAGCCGGGACCACGAGTGGGGTGTGCGGACGCGCCGGTGGGTTCCGCGGCAGGGCCGGACGGTAGGGCCGGACCCAGCCGGGCGGGAGGGCTGGGAGAGGGAGCGGGGGCCGGGGCTGGCACCGGAGCAGGGC